AGGAATCTCCCGGTTGTACCCGGTTGGCGTTTTAAGCTCGCTCTGGCCCCGTTATTGGTCAGAACTCATCCCGGTAAGGTCCTGGCTCATCGTAGGAGCGGGACGGTCGAGTGACCGAGAACCAAGAAGATTGAAAACAAGTTGCGACGTCGTGTTCAGAAGACCTTGGCCTAGAATAGAGGCAAGGTAGAGCCGTGGGACTTGGCCTAGTGTAGATGCAAGCCGGCTAGAGTCGCGTTAGAGTTTAAATGCACGTACGGGCGACGTGCATTGCCGAGTCAAGTGAGAATTCCGCTGCAAGTGAAGCTCGGTCGAGGAAGAAAGAACCTCGCCTAAGGTCCGACGAAGCCACAACGGGGCGTGATAAGTGGATTGGAGCTAGAGTTCCTCGTCAGGCTGGCCATGGTCGAGCTTAGATCATGGCGCCACACGGTTGAAAAATGTACGACCGTGACACCCTGCGCCAAATGATTGACTGCCCAAACCCATTGGGCCACTAAAAATTTTAGATAGTGTATTATTTTAAATATTCGTTGGCAAACCAATATTTTCATTAACATTTCTATGTTGTTTTGGCTTCGACGTCGATACGAAGGGTAAATCGACATTTTCATCATAGTAAAAAAAATCGACAAAATATAAAAAATATCAACAAGATGTCCCTAATATATACATAATATCAATATTAATTATTTTTTAACTTATTTAGAAATATTAAAATGTTTATTTGTTAATTTAAATATTTGTTACGATTTTTTAAATTCTATAATTGAAATATCAATCGACATCGACATGTTATCGATATTTCTATAAAATTGAGATCTCAACATTTCTTTCAACGACATTTAAAACCTTGATTGTACTTGCAAATTGTTCTTAAGGTGTGTCCGGTGAAATGAGCTATATAAAAAAAAATATCAAGTATAATTGATTTTTCAAAATCACCCCTCAAAGTGATATCTTAAAAATTAATTTAAAGTGATTTTGAACTTTTTAAAAATCAAAATATGATCAATAGAAGGGAAATGGTTTCGACAACGGTGAAAATGATTTTAGCCATATTAAAATCACTTTCAAACCCACAAAATGAGCTAAAAGAACAAATAACAAATAAAAATATAATATTTACACTGAGTTTGTGTTGGCATGCCCCATTTATTTGATTTCATTTTCATGTAGCCCTTGGTCTTCCATTTTCTTATGCTCCCTTACTAATTACTATAAATGTCAGAAAGTCCCTTTCTCACAGCAAGCAAGTTAGTTGGGTAGCAGCATGTGTTTGTTAGTTGATGTGGTAGGTAGAGCTTGTCCCATTTCTTGCATCCATTACCATATCTTTGTTAACTTGGAAAAATATTGTTTGCTTATGAATATTTATTTAAAAAAAAAAAATACAAAGTCATGTTACAATTTTTACCTTCCAATATACTTCCTAAATTTCTTATGTTTTTACTTCTAATGAATTATAAAACATGTGTTCATACGAAACCCTTCAATAGATCTAGTGCATTAACCAAAGTTAAATGTTGTGCAGCACTTATTTTTGTTGAAACTTTCACTTGCTAAACGATTAGTAGAAATTACCTCTCCAAATATTGTATCCAATTATACATTCAGAATACCGAACTAACTGATAAATAGATTATTACAATACCAGCTTGGTAATAAAGTACTAAATAAATCGCTTGGACGATCTAAACCATTAAACTTATACATCACATTTACTTAAGCTCGACAAATTCATGATTCAACCTCGATCCATGAGAAAGTTTAAAGAAAGTCTAGGAAAGATTATTCTTTTGTAAAAGAATAGTACATAAAAACATCAGGACAAAAGACACTGTCCTAGCTTAAGGACTCGATAAATGAACAAATGGAAACGAAAGATGATTAAGATTTCCAAACAGTGCTATCAATATATTGAAAGATGATAAGAATTCAATGCTCAGATCTTCTACTGTTCTAAAGTATGATTTAGATAGAGATCTACAAAAAAATGCATTGGAGTTTGAATTGTAAAAAACACTGTAAGCAAAACCAGTGGAGACTCACCTCCAACTCCAACTCCAATTCTCATGATCAAATATCGCAATCACAACTCCTATATAGGTCAAATAACTAAATGAAAATTATGACTTTAATAACTTCAATAAATTAAGATTTACCATGGACACCATGGCTTCTAAATTTGGGAAAGTCTAATTTTTTTTGAGTCATTTTACATTCTCATTTATCAGATCACCTCAATCTTCAAAACCAAGTAATTATACCTCATGGTGGTGACGCACCAGGAACAACGGTCACTTCAAAAATTAGCGGGAAAAAAATTATCTCGAAAAGCTGTTTCAATCTTCAAGCTCAATAATCTTGACCACAGATGCATCCCCAACCTTTTGACAAACGACAACTCGGTCATGTGACTTGATAACTCCAGATGCTTTGCCATGATCAAGAGCAACCTTTAGAACTGACTCATTTGTTGCGCTAGTAGACTCCGCCTGTAAAGCCATAAATGCAATTGGAAAGCATAAGTCAAATAATTTGATAAATTGGGATTTTATTTTGAAAAGAATGGAAAAGTCCGACAATCATAATACTATTGTCTTTTCTGACTTTTAATGCAGACTGGCGTGCCAGAAGTACATTATTAATATGCATACAGACGTACAAGTTCATAAACTTAAAAATGATATAGTTAACACACCAGGTTCACCCCATGAATGTTTTCATTTGAGTCAAAAAGGAAAGCGAAGCGCTCAGGCAATCAATACAAGCTACATTACTAAATTCAGAGAACCCAATAAAGGTTTCGTAGACCAATTAATTTTATTCAAAAACAAAAACAGGCATTGAACAACAACCGTACCCTTGTGAATAATTTTTAAGTTCAAATATTACCAGCCTGACCTCATAAAAGGAGGACTACTGAGCAAATGGACATGATTCACTCTTCATAAACCATATAGACAAATTGGAAAATGGAACTTACAGGATGTCGTGGATCAGCAAGCATGGGGAAGAGGCCTCTTACTATCAATGACTGCCTAGCCTGAAATAGATCAAGACCGAATATCGCATTATCAAAGAAAGAAACTAGCAATATAAGTGGACAAAAAAAGAAGATAAAACATTCGTGGTTTTGGGAAATGTTTGACAGTGGATATAGTGAAGGATGATATTGATAGTCTCAATCGATCTTTTCTAGGATTCCTTATCACGCCACACACAGAGATCATACGAGTACATAAACTCTTATCGCACAATAATACTTACCTTAAAAGAGTAGAAAATTATACAACTAGCGTGATGAACTATTGATGCACTAACTATCCAAGACATGAATGCAGGGAATGCATGGCCGTACAATATATTGTCCTTGAACATGAAATTTGTTGAGACGAATTTGAGACTATATAACAATTCTAATCCATATTCAACAAGTTCGAAATTCTGTCTACATATTCCTTTGTAGCAATCTGATCATTTTTTTGGAAAGGCAAAAAAAAGAAAGCACAGTAGCAAGACAACATCAAACAATCACCGGTTTGTAGCTAGAATTGAGACAAAATGCAAAAAAAGGCTGCCTCAATAAATCGTCGTCCCAAGTGATGGAAATTTTGATTTGTCAAAATATTCATGTATGAAACACTTACCAAGACAACAAGAATAAAGAAAATTGCTAAAAATGATATATGACAAACCTCAAATGCTCCAGTAAAGCTCCACCTTAACTGATTTGTCTTCAGCCTAGGAATGACAACAGATATAACTGGCATTGTGGGCCTATATTTAGCAATTAGTCTGCATATTTGAACAGCAAGTTTAGAACTCTATAAAATAAATAACTGCAAAAATTTTAAGAGGACTTCAGCTAAGTAGAAGAAGCTTGCTTGGAGATCAAAATTGGACTCCTAAACCGTAATACCTTGCAGCTCTTCCAGATGAAGTAAAGCAAATAATAACTGACGCCTTCACCTTAATGGCAGCCCTAACCTGAAAACAAATCAAACCCATTGCATATAATAACCACAGTAGAACCATAACAATTATAAAAAAGCTTAATACTGAAATCATTGAAAATAATATATACAGTAACCAGAATAAGGAGTCAGTACCGCTGAAGAAGCAATGGATTCCAAGTGTGTCATAGGTTCACCAACAAATTTGACAGTCTTCTTGAAATACAAATCTTGATTGAACACCTTCTCAGACTGCATTCATTAGGAAACGAGAGCACCCAGGGGGTAAAAGATATAAACACTTCAGAATAAAAACAAATCGAGATTATATAGACAAAGATAAATCCGCAAGTCCTTCAAATTTATAACAGTGACTCATTGTAAGTGTACAATCTCATATTAACCATTAGTCCCAGCAGATAACAATCGAGTGAGACATGCTTCTCCCTTTTAAATATTTAAAATAAAGATTGAATTGCAGGGAATAGGCATCCAAAACAAAAATGCTAAAGCTGAAGAGAACAAATACCATCATTATCAAGATCTACAGTTATGATGAACATTTTACAAAAATGATAGAAGATGATAGTTAAAAAATCTCATGATATGGCAAAAAAAACACACAAATAATAAGTTCAACTATTGGGAAAAACAAGTCCCATTTCTTCACTTGGAAATAAACAAATCTATAACTAAAGTAGTCTTTGAAGCATGGTATATATTTGACACCACACAAAACAGCAAGTTAATAATGTGAGAGGTTGAGTAAATGAGAAATAAGAATAACAATTGAATTAGTACGAGGCTCGAGTTTATCAAAGATCCTTAACCAGTAAGATATTAATGTGACGAAAAACTCGCTCTAAAAAGAAAAGAATAATTTTGAATATTGCAGCACACAATTATTTCATTATAACTACCAATCAATGTTAGAACTAGTGTCATCAAATGATTCAAACTAATTTAACACATGCTTGTTCTTAATGCTTCAAGAAGGACAAAGCTTTTCAAGAAAGCATGGGTTAAGACATCTCTCTCTTTTTTTCTTTAATTATTCTTCTTTTTTCTTGTCAAGAAACAAGTTCCATTTATCAAATGAAATGACAAGCCGAAAGGAGTTGCAAGACAACTCTTCATTTGGTACATTTTAGAAAGCGAATAACTCGAAAAGAAATCACTTAAAATTTTGGGGAGCTCAAAGCTTGAGTTCACAAAATTAGTTCATCATTACATGCAGCCATATATGCACATAGATGCACAGAAAGTATTTACCTCAGCACAAATCCTACCAACCGTAGAAATAGTTTCTACTGGATAAATTCCACGCAAAGTCTCAGCCCCCAGAAGAATCGCATCACTTCCTGTATCCATAAGAATAGTTTTAACCAAAGCAAATGTGAATTGTAAAATAACCAAGGAGCTAAATGCCAATGTCATTCAATTTTAATGAAAAGGTTGATGTCAACAGATATTCCAAAAAAATCACAAAGATCATAAAAACTCTTAGAACTGTTTGAATTAATAAATAAGATTGACACCGCTTAAATAGGTTATAAATAATATTTATTAGTATATATATTCCAACTGTAGCATTTGAGCAACATTTCTGATATTTCTTGACATTTCATCAACATTTCCACAATATTTAGGGGAAATAAAAAATGCCATCTCCTATTGATATCAAACCCATTGCTTTAAGAAAATGTTGACAAGTAAATGGAAATTATTAATTATATGCCAAATAATAAACCATCCTTGGTAGCTCATGGGTCCAAAGGGACTAGGGTTAACCAAGAGGGAATGGGTTCAAACCCATGATGGTCACCTACCTTAGGTATTAGTAACTTCTATGTGTTTCCCGACACCAAATGTCGTAGGGACGGTTGTCTAATAAATAAAATTAGTGATAAAATAATATAAAGAAAGAAAGAAAGGGAGTGAAAGTAATGGAGGACCAAATTTCAAAGAGTACATCTGTATCTTAATCATCAGTCATTACAGTGATCCAACTACTTCAGAAAAAGTCTACACATCATCAGTCTTTAACACAATATAGTTTTCATAATTATTGCATGACTTACCATCCAGGACTGCATTTGCAACATCAGTAGCTTCAGCACGAGTAGGTCTTAAATTGTTGGTCATACTGTCCACTACACGAGTCACCACAGCAGGCTTTCCAGCCATGTTACACTTGTAAAGGGCAGCTTTCTGAAACAAAAACACCTGCAACATATGAAGAAGTGATCAGCACGAAGCTAACTTGAGGCTTAGAACCTAATGGTCACAGTAAGAAAATTTAAGTTATTTCGAACCACAACTCTCATGAAGAGAATGTTGTAATACACTCAACAACATGAATTCGGAGTTTCAAAAGATGGCCATGACTTAATGGCAATGCTATTGTTAATTGTTCCGTGAGTTTCCATGTACACACTTGGACAGTGGACATGATAGACATGCAGAACTAGACACATCTTTTTCTATTCTTATTAGTAAATACCTCTTGACACTTGACAGAAATGTGAACATGTAAATAATATCCAAAATTACTTTTTCCATTGCGTAGAAGTGATTTTGGGCAATTACATAGGACGTGATTAAGGTTCAAGTTCCATGTACACACTGGTTTCTCATTGGACAAGTGAATTAAAGACTTAAAGTTTTTCTCACTAGTTCTATAGAGTTTAATTTAAGACCCAGTGAAAATCCTCTGGGATAATAGAGCTATCAGTACAGCATCATTTCCCCGCTGTCCACTCATGTAAGAAAAGTAAATAGTTCCAATTATCTTTGCAATCAACCAAGTATCAAGGTGGAGAAGAAAGCGGATATTCTCAAGTCTCCAACATAAGCAACAATTCTAAAATGCAAGTGACATGATAACACCAAAAAATTATACATAGATAATTGGCAGTGGGGAATAGTCTTTGATGCCACACAAGACTGAGCTTCAAGATTGTACTGAAAGAAACTAACCTTCTCAGGCGGGAGATCGATCCCCAAATTCCCACGGGATAGAATAATACCATCTGCTTCTCGTAGGATCTCATCAAAATGGGTTAATCCCTAAAAATAGGATCACAGACATATGCAAATGTTTAAATCAGCATTATAGTAATTCTAACTTCAGCGCCCCCCACCCTGACCAAAAAAAAGGAGCTAAAAATGACTAACCTCAACGGTTTCAATTTTGGCAAAGATTTGTGTTTGGCTAAGGTCACCTAACTTAGAAAGGAATTCACGAGCCTGCATAGCCAGATAAAAGCCATCTATTTGACTTAAATAACCCAAAAAGAGAGGTAAGAGAGAGGACTCAAAATAAAGAAATATACTTGTCGGACATCCTCTGCATGTCTAGTATATGATAATGAGAGGAAATCAATTTTGTTTTGTACTCCCCAACTAGATATAATCTGAAATTAACAGAACAATACACTGTGTTAAGTACCATTAAATGGAAATCAATAAAGTCTCAAGGAAAAAAAACAAGTCGTAAATTAGAAAGCTCGCTCACCTCCTTATCATTATCAGAAAGTGTAGGAAGATTAATATGAATTTGAGAGCCATGCAAAGTGAACAGCGATCCAGCTAATGTGGCAGAGTTCTTAATTACACAAACAACATCATCACCTTTGACTTCGGAAACCTGATCAGCAAAGCACAAAGTCAAGCACATATCCATTTTCTCAACATGACATTCAAAATAAGTCTGCAATAAACATTATTATGAAGCCAAAGCGAGCATAGCTTAGCATATATCTCCAACCAAGAGGTTGTGAGTTCGATCCCCCACCCCCAACATGTTGTACTCAAAAAAAAAAAAAACATTATTATGAAGTAATGTGGTAAACTATATTTTCCTGATTAAAGATCGTCCAAGCAAGAAGTGCAAATTCAAATCACATGCACATGAAATGCAGCCGCGTAGAACCGTAGTATTTACGTAGAACCATGCAACTAAACAAGGAGGGAAAGAATTGGTAACAGATACTAGAAATATTTCCTTACCTCTAGCCAGACAGAAGTTGTTTCACTTCCAGTGAAAAGGTATTGACCCACGAAAATAGTATCTCCTTTCTTCACAACCTACAGAAAACAAAGTATTACCTTGTGATAAAGCTCACCAAATCGTGTCAACAAAAAAAATAATGGAATGGTCAAATAGCTCAAAATCTTGGTGCAGTGCTACATGCGTCTACAACTCAATAATGGAAACTAATACCAACGTTAGTTCAATGGTTAAAGGAGTGTCAAACCATTCATAATACTTATTCAATTTCAGACATGCTAGAAAAATCAGTGTTGAAAGAGTCATGTTTGATTTAAATTAGATAAATTTATGTAATTGTAACGATATATTTTTTGAGATTTTTCCATGAACTCTATTAGGCTTTTTCTAAGACATTAAACAAAGCACAATGAATTTTTCTTTTCTTTCTTATAAATGTCAACACTAGTCACTTTATTACTCGAACAGTTCTAGTGTTTTTTTCACTACTCAAATTAAATAAATGTATCACCATTCATAATCAGGCCTTTGTTGTTTTAATCAAAATTTATACAAGAGACCTTTATTTAAATAATCAAGGGTGTACAGCCATAATGAAAATAATATGAAAGTATAATATTTAGAACCAAGAATTCATCCACGAAAAAGAAAAAATTATTAGAATAGAGAAACCCATAAACATAAATATTCAAGGTGGTAGGCCTAGAACTAATGACTTCAAAGGCTTCTATAAAGTTCACTACTAGATAGATCAACCCATGGTGGTTTTAATAGGACCTAATCAAAAGCCCAAATAAATATTGTTAACATTGCTACAGGATATCATGAAAACACGAAGATTTGTTGGTGAAAGTCTATTATCAGTAAGGCATCACAATGAAATAAAAAAAGCCAAAAAGTGCAAACTTCCAACAGCCAGCCCAACTGATATGCCAAACTAAACAAAATCAAACTCATTATTACTTTGTAAAGAAGAAAGTCTTCATGAAAATAACACTAGTATGAAGAATGGAACCTTTGAAAGTCCATTATAGTTAATAGGCAAGAGCTCTGAAGTCGCCTCAAGTTCTTGATTGGGTGTAAGGATAACTATGGCATCTTCCTGAAGTGAAATGGACTTCTCAGTTTTATTTATTACTTGCAACTCGGGGCCCACAGTGTCCAGCATAACCTGGAATTAGCAGAAGGCATCGCATCAGTTCTTTTCCTTCATCCCACATAAAAGTACCCACTTGGCACGTATAACATTCAGCATTTAATAGGAGAGGCAGGAATAATGTTTCATTAGCAGAATTTATTATAAGATCTGACTGCACAAGTACCTCCTTTTCAAAACAGAGCCTCGTCATACCACAGAAGTACTATTAAACAATGTCAAAGGAAAAAAAAAAAAAAACTTCTAGTTCCAGTAACAGAACAGGAAATATAATATAGCAACCCAATAAAAAACTTCATACACTTCCATCTAAATGACTGTCGACGAGAATAGGCGGACAAACACACACATTTTTGCTCCACTTAACCAAACAAGTAATTGAGCAATAAAACAATACAAAATATTTTTCCAAATAAAACAAGGGTAGCGGCCTTTCAATGGTGTGTTTCCCATTCAACAGAGTCAACATATATTGTGAACTTCAAGAGACAATCAAGATGCCCATAACTACAACATACAGCGCAAAGCTTCTTAGTGATCTTCACGGCCGCCTTCAGATTCTCCAAAGTCTCCTGATGATAGTCCGGGTCACCCCATGAAAAGTCGAAACGAGCAACTAACACCAAAAATATGAAAGCTATTAGTAACACAAACTAGTGGTTCCTCCAATCCAATGAATTACCAGCAAAACATTCGGGGACCCGGATATAATACCGTGGAAATAGACAGATTCGAAACAAGAAACCAGCAAGAATAAGTTTACCTGACATTCCAGCCTTCAGACAACCAGAAATTATCTCAACAGATCGAGACCTCGGACCAAGAGTCCCAACGATCTTCGTCATAGCAGGAAAGAAACTCTGAGAAACAATCAACAAACAAATCATCAAACCAAAGAAAATAGATAACTAACAACGATGCTTCACAAGTGCAAAAAGGAGAGGAAAAAAATCACAATCGAGAACGAAACACTGCACGCATTCAGAATCAAATAAAAATACTTCATAGATCCATAACGAATCAAGTAAACGACACACTGACGAAAAGAAAACATCAGAAACGCTGAAAATAAGACGGAACTTACAGCCTTGGATGGCTCGAGGATGGAGGCCATGCGAATGGGCTCCTCGAGAAGCAAGTGATTGGAATGCATCTTGGATTGGTGTAATCGGCGGTAGGAATCGGAGGAAGATGAAGAAAGCAAATAAATGAATCAGAAATCAAAGGAGGATCCTGGAAATTGGAAAATGGGTTCCGCTTCAGACACTTTGAATCTGTGACTCCGGGAGCGGAATGTGAGAAAACCTGGTTCTTCGCTTCGACCAGAACTGAAACCAGAAACAACAGTATTTCTATTTCGCCCTCGCGGCAAATCTCGCGACTTCTCGCCCCCACTGTTTATCTATTTTACCAATCTCGCGATAAATTCGTTTTTTTAAACATTTGTTGATATCGCTTTTCTCTGTATAAATAATGCCCTATTCCACCCTATTTTTTGTTAGGTCAAGGTGCATCATGTGTTGGGCTAGAGGGTAAAAATGTCAATCCGTTGATTTTATTGCCTTTTATCAAAATAAATAAATAGATATTACCACGACGACCAAAATATTTATATTTTAATTAATATTTTTTTAAAAAGTAAGAAAAAATGTTGTTTTTTATCTGAGATGGCAAAAAAAATCCGCGAGTATCCGATCCGATCGGGTCGGGGAATCTCCAGTTTGACCGGTGACAGGGTCAAACCAGGGATCCTAATCGAGGTCCCTGGTGAGAATGGAGAGGTCCCCGCCCGGAGACAGGGATGGGGATGGAAAAAAAATTAGACGGGGATGGGGATGACCTGCCCGATCCCACCTCGCTCCGTTGTCATCCCTATCAACATGTGGAGGTGGGATTCGAACTTAATTGTCTTAAAGCTCAGGTTTCAGCGAATTTATTTAATTGTTTTATGTATCTTTCATCTTTTATAAGTATTACTTTTTAACATTTATACTCACATTATTTTCTCTTTTTTTTACCATTTTTATATGTTATTGTTATCTATTTGGTATATATCAAAGGATAATCAATTTATAGATTCAGGTTTGAGGTTTTTTTTCTTTTACCTCAAGTCTTTCTTGGTAAATTCATAACTCGAATGACTTCAAGTTGATTGAGTAAGTTTTTTATTTCGTTAAAAAAATGTCTATTATAAAATGTAAAATATATAATTCTCAAACAAAGCTAATTTTAGTATAATTTTTTTTAGTACGACATGTGGGTGTGGGGATCGAACTCACGACCTCTTGGTTGGAGATATATGTCAATTATTGCTGAGTCATGCTACCTAATTTGAGTATAATTAGGTGGTGTACTTCTATAAAAAAAAATAGTTATAATACGTACCTTCCCTATGGTTGAAAGTTCAATATTTACTTCAATATCTTTTAACTTCAAAAAAATATCAAACAGAAAAGAAAGTACGGTTATAAATATGGTAAAAATATAACACATCAATTTCTACCTCTCCTCTTATAAATAAAATTGGCTAAATTTTATGGAATCACTTATGAGAGGAAAAAAGAAAAACATATAAACTTATTTAAAAGAATCATAAAGATGAAACAAAAATATTATCAAATAAAAACTTATTCCGAAATATAATGAATTAGAGTTCAAATTATAATTCGATAATTGAAGTTTCACACTTAGTTTCATTTTGTTATCATTTGAAATAAGATATTTGGTCTTCAAATTTTGTATAAAAGTTTTTTTTAGTTCTCATTATTGGACCACTTCAATTGTTTTAAATTATCTCTCAATAACCTAAGCCTTAAACTTCATACTTACAAAAAAAAAACGTTTAAAACGACATCTATATTTATCACGTGACACAATTGGATCAATATGGATGAACTCATTTTTACTTATCAATGGTTAACTTTAGATATTTAAACTCTAACGTACACACTCTTGTCTCGCGCTAACCACCACAACTCAGTATATCTGATAGTTTTGCCTCTCACATACAATATGATGTTCTCAACTAAGTTAGAGGATTATGGTTAGTATTAGCCGCCACATAAAACTCTTATCAAATCACAACTAACAACAACTCTTCTCGAGTCACGACTCTGCTTCCAAAAGTTCTAACTCATGTGAATTAAAGAATTGTCGTCAATCTTAGCCACGGTATAGAAAACTCTTCTTTTAAGTCATAACTCTATCTCTGAAGATCCTAAAAAGTTTTTCTGCCCTAGATAATCTAATCTATGAATCAAAGTCACAAAAAAAAATTAAAATTTCACATTTAAATACAGTACAAGAACTTAATCAGAAGTACTTTAAAAAATAGATTTTCATCATAAAAGCAAATTGGCCTGCCAAAGCTGGTGAAGAGTCAGAAAACACAGCTTCTGCCCCATAGGTTAAACTTTAAAGGCTCTTTCCATTCCAGCTGAGCCCATGGTAAAATGGCTTCCAATGGTTTATTCGCAGATTCCAATACCATTTCAAAACATTACCCACTGTATTTTTTTATACTAAATCATTGGATGGGGAAATTTTATAAAATTTTGTTTTAAATTCTTAAAAATTGTCTTTATCAATACTTTTTAAACAACTCAGTGCGTGGCGTTATCAACCACCTATCATTTTCTCCATCTTCCACGCCAAATCAACAAAATTATTTTGTGGGTATAATTTGTCATTCCTTGTAGTTTGACGTTGGAGTTCAAATGCACTGTAAAAGAGACTATTATGCTTCCATAAAATCAGTCTAATAGTACCAGGTAATCGGAACTAATTAAAAATTCATGAAGATACCTATTATCGTCTTAAATATAAATGGTTCGATCTTTACCCAACAAAATTCAACTTAAAAATACGAAATAACAAATAAATCTAATTAAAAGTTTATTCAATTAACTAAGACATTAATAACACATGTAGAATTTCAAATAAAATAACCATGCATAGGATTATCCAAAAAAAAAAAAAAAAATCAACAAATCAAGACACATAAATTGAAAAATTAGGTCATTGCCAAGTAAAAAAATGTCAATATGATAACTTGCAGAAGTTAATTAAATTATATAAATCAACTTAAAACTTCTAAAATTACAAAATAAAATTGAAACTGCAACTAAGTCATTCAGAATTTTATTTAGTACCCTAATAAAAAAATATAAATAAAAAGTCATTCAAAATTTAACCCATTTAAAAATAAAAATGGAAATAAAACAAACAAGAAAAAAGTAAAAAATTATCGCGAAAATATCGAGTTATTCCTTATTCGGCACCGTACGTTGACAGTGAGAATTTGCCGTATTTGTAAAAATTAAAAAAATTCATAGGAGTGACGCCGCCGTGGAAAACGTGCGTGCCACGGAAGCGTTCAAAGGAGCATGAAGTGATTATGGCGTCCAAATGCCGCACAAATCAGCCAACTCAGAGACATTAATTTCCCTTTTTATTTTTTTTACTCATTAAAGGCAAATTGCTGGATTTTATTTATTATCAATTATTTTTTTCTGATAAAGTAAATTGCTGGATTTTATTTATTCGTAGAAAATACCAAATTCAAATTTACAAAACTCACATTCAATCTTTTCTGCATGAAATATATGTGACATTTATATTAATATTTCTGTACATCAATAGATTCGATCGACATAAAGAATAAATCGTCATTTTTATAATATTACAAAAAATCAACAAAACATGAAAAATATCAATAAATTGTCACTAATATAAACATAATATTAATATTAATCATTTTAACGTATTTAAAAATTTTGAAATGCTTATTTGTTAATTTAAATATTTTTATAAATTTTTTTTATAACTTTTCCAAAAATATCCATCGACATTTCATCGATATTTTCATAAAATTGATATATCAACATTTTCATTGACATCGACAATTAAAATCTTGATCATTATTTTGTAGAGTTTTAAAAGAAAACAAAAAGAAATGTAATTATAATTCGATTGAAATATCATTAAAATATTGAAAGCAAAAAGATCATGACTATTTAAAAAAACTTTTGGTGAAGTTTGTCTTTAGTTCACTCGCTGCAATTGGAGTACGACATGTGTAGACACCGTATTTGGTCCGGCTTTATTTTAGTTTTAGTTTTAATTATTTAATTTTATTTTATTAAATACTATAGGATTACTTTATTATTGGTTATAAGCTAAAGTTTAAATTAAATTAAAAAAAATAAATTTTGTTTTAAAGAATTTGATTTAATATTAAAATAAAAGAAATAAAAAGATTTGATTTTATTTATATAATTTTGTTTTAAATAAATTTAGATTGTGTTTTGGTTAAAAATAAACATTTTGTTTTTTCTCCCGTTTTTCGTTCGGTGACCGAACGTTTTCCCTTCCTTTTTTATTTAAAGGACACACAACACACAGGGGAGAAAAAACAGAGAGCACACACAAGAATGATTTGTGTAAAGAAATTTTTTTTTTTTTATTTTTTCCCTTAGTCTCTGAAAGCGGTTCAATAGAACCAACACACAACATGACTCTGGTGCACACCTCACGACCTCCATTGCTGCCTTGAGACCATCCTCCGGTGATTGACCGACGATGACCAAGAGTCCAGCGACCCACTCTAACACGACAAACGACATCCATGGTAAAAATCTTTGCACAGTATACCCCTACATTTCTTTAATAATAAAAAAAGTTTATTTTTAACAAAAAAAATAAAAATTTTCCTTTTAAAGAAAATAAACTTTTTAAAATAAGTTTTGAAAAATAATGTAGATAATTTTTTTTTAAAAGTAAAATAAAATAATTTTTAAATAAAGTAACAAAAAGTTAATTTCATTTAAATAAAAGATTTTGCATTAAAGTTTTGTAAGTTAAAAATAATAAWAATAAGAGTTTTATAAACTAAATCTTTTAAAAATAAATTGGATTCTTTGAAATTTCTCAAAAGTTCTTAATTTTGTTTTCTTAATTTTTTATTTATTTTTAGAAAGAGAATTTCTGCTGCAGAGATTTAAAAAATAGAGGATTTABAGAAAATTGTTTTCTAGGATTTATTTTAATCTTGTAACATTTGTAATTTACAATAAGTTGTTAGGAGAATGAAATCTTTTTTTAAATGATGATTATCATTTTAGAAAAGATCTTAACAATTTGTTTTAAGTAAAATTTAATTTTTTTAATTAGAAATAAAAGATTTTCTTGAAAAAATCTTTTTAATGTCAAAATACATAAAAAATTWTTTTTTTGTTTAAATTTAACAAAATTCGTTTTTTTTAGTTTAAAAATTAAATTAGAACTTTTGTTTTTGTAAAAGAGTACAATGTTTACTTCTTAGGGTATTGACATAGTGGTA